AAAGAATTTATTTAAAAAAGTAAATTATAAATAAAATAGAATTTTCAAACGTTACGCTAAATCAGGGCCGATTTTACTTCTTTAAAGCCATCCAGCACAACGTGCCTACATTTTTTTTTTAATTCAATGGCAACAAGGCTAGAGGGCGACCGAGAAAGACCTGAACAGATGGAGTCAGGGAATTACTAACCACCCACGGCATCCCCCTGACCCAAACTCTCCGGCTAGTGGCAGAGGGACGTCTCTTTCTTCCCGCGACAACCAAAAGGGTATAAGCGGCGGATAAAAGTAAAAGTAAAAGTAAAGACTTTCAAATGAAGAAAGTAGAAAAATGGGGAAAAGGGGGGGGGGGACTAATCGATTAACGTTGTACGTGAATGTCATTATTAACGTATTGCTTCAACCAAAAGAGAGAAGTGCTATCAAAGTAAAACTTTGCGAGTTACCCATATCAAATTCACTAGTACATTGAATACACAAATAATTATGCGTTTTTTCAACTATATATGTAGTAAACAGTTCCTTTTACTTTGTTTATAAAGTGCGCAGAAGCAATGTGCTCTTACTCGTGCGCTGCCAAACCCACCCCTTTCTGCTCTGTTAGTCCGTCTACACCCCTAGGTATCTTTCATCGGACAACCCCCCCCCCCAAAAAAAAAAAAGCAAAAAAAAAAAAAAAACCCCAAAAACCAAACAAAGAAGAAAAAATACCCCCCCCCCCTCACACCACATCACCACCACACCCTCCTTCCCTAAAAAAGAGGCAAAACGAAACACAACAAAACAAAATAAAACAATCGCCTGGCAAGTTGCCTTACCTGCTGCAGAGTAAATGTGGTTCTGTTCCTCCTCTGTTTACGGCGCGCAAATGCCTCGTCGTGGAGGTCGCCATGCAGACCAGCATAGCCGGGATCTGAACAAAGAAAGACGTTTTGTGCAGCATGTAGTTACAGTAGAATTATACACAGATTTACACCTTCTTCCTTTGTTTCAAGCGTATTGATAATGTCTTTTATTTGAGCTTATGCAGGGAATCAAGATCTGAACTGAAGGCGGTAATATTCTTTTTCTGTCTGTCTGTCTGTCTGTCTGTCTGTCTGTCTGTCTGTCTGTCTGTCTGTCTGTCTGTCTGTCTGTCTGTCTGTTTCTCTTTCTTTTTCTCTCTATCCATTATCGCAACAGTGAGTTTGTCTTTACTATAACAGACTATCCGAACTGGAAGGTCCATTTCGCTGTTTCTTTTTCTTC